CCGCTCCCGTGGATTTTACGCGTCACCCGAAGTCTGCCAGTACTCTGTGAGGTCTTCCTTCGTTCATGTGTTGGACCAGAGAGGGAATTGACGGGATATTGAGCAACAAGGGCTCCAGGACAGGTACTGTGCAAGAAGAAGTGAAGTCTGTGCAGTAACGTATGCGACGTCTGAGGCAGTTCACCCGTTTGTGACGGCGTAGTGGCTGGACCGAGCCACCGGGAAGCAGTGGAAGAAGAAAACTATTCGAGAATCCGAACGACTGCAGCCGAGACGAAGGCGGGCAGCCGTAGCTGGGAGGAGAAGTTGACGGCCGGGAGATCGACTCCAACCCTACAAGAAGTCGAGGAGGAGCACGGACCTGCAGTGAAAAGGCACGGAGACGACACGCTTATGGTGGGACGTTGATTGAGTTCCTGGAGGACACGACAGTGTGTGTGTGGGGGCGTTCCCTACACGAGGCAGGAGCCTGGACCAGGAGCTACAACTCAACTCTCACCGGAGGATAGGTGGAAGTAGGTGATTCTAGTTTCCCTCCCAATTCCCCTTTAGTCAGCTATATTATTTAGCCAGAGTATTTTGTATGTCGTGAGCAAGGCTCACCTATGTCACATTAAGGCACCAGTGTGCAGAGTGGGACTATAAAGAGTACTCATGATATTTATGATTATTATTGGTGTGTGCAGGCACCTGGAGTAATTGATGAATTTACTGTGTTGATAATGTCTTTCATGAGACTTTAATATGATCAGTTATTGAGAGAGTATATGTATATAAATATGCCAGTATTTGGAGTTAGGCTATGTGCCCAGTAACTATGTTATTACCATTATTGATGTCTATGACTCATCCATATATATATATATATGTCTATGCTCGTGTATTGAATAATCATTCATGTGTGCAGTGATTAATTGTGTTATCGCCCACGGAAGGAATTACTGAGAACTCCAGTGATATATACTTGCATACGTGATCATTAAATGAAGGGCAGTGTGTTATACCATGATAGTGAGCTAATGTGTCCATTTATATAGAGATGTTTGATTGAACTCAAGATCAGTGCAGCGAAGTGTTTACGTGCTATTGTCGCAAATATTGTGTGTTCGAACTTCTAGTGATCTTTGAGAACTTAAAGAAACTGGCGCGTCACGCCACAGGCAAACAGATAAAGTAACATTCGCGTGGTGGTAGTCGCCCAGCTGATTTTGACATTGACGTGAAAGGGAAGCGTTGCCGGCTTGGCGAGTTCATGATTATATGTGGGAACGAGCGACTTCTGCCTGAAACAGCTGTTTGCTTATTTGATATAATCTTGTGATGTTTTTGAATGAGTTTTAAGTAAAATACAAAGTACATTGGTGTTTATATCATCCCCTCCATAATTCTTGTGGCTATATAAAACCTGAAAGCAGATAGAGGCAGAAGTAAATACCTGCCTGATATCAGACACATTGAGTGTGCTCTTGCCACTGTTACCGCAATTCAACAAAACCACTGACGTGTTACTGGACACCGGAAACACCAGTTGGCGACCTTGTGGTTAGTAGTAGAGCCCTATGCTGGGGCGGGCATACAACAGTTAAGAGAACAAGTTGTGTTCCCACTCCTTCTCGATCAGAGGCCGGTTGGGATTGACTGGGATACTCTCCTGGCGTACAGTGGCGCCGCGAGGATAGAGTGAAGACCCGCAGGGCTACGGTGAGTGACCTTGAGTATACTGTTGCTCACCGATAAACCCCGACACTATATAGATTATTAAAAAAGAGAGAGGGAAGTAGAGGTCCAAGATCTCTTCCTGTTATACAATTTGGGTGTGGAACAAGTAATTATCAAAAGAAGGCACCATGCCGGGAAGGCTATGTAGCAGTAAGGCAGTGAGGTGAGGCAGCTACTTATTTGAGAAATGCTTATTTTATTTACCTTATAAGCTGAGGCAACTTATTTTATTTGAGGAATACTCAGCTGATTCCTCTACATTTAGTATGGAACAAATTTGTGTCCAAGACCTCTTCCTGTTACTCAATTTGGCTGTGTGTAACCAAACTAGAAGTGCTCTACAAATCAAGGGACCCAGAATGTGGAATGACCTCCCGAATCATGTCAAAGGCTGTACCTCTCTCAACCAGTTTAAGAGTTAAACCAAGTACTGCCTAATTAACTCCATGTAACCTAACTTACCTCCTAAATATCAACCCATGTCTTGCTATTTTTTAAACAACGCTGTTCACCAACATGTGCAATTGCTGATTTATGCTATGTTAACCCCCTTTTTGTATGTTTTATTCCTTCTTTCAACACAATTTATACCTAATCCCGATTACTATTAAGTTTTAGTCTGTGTTTTTTCCCCCACACCTTGCCCGAAATGCTTTGAGTATTAGTGGCTTTAGATATTGTATGTACTAGCTCTGTCTATAAATCCAACATTATGTTTGTAAATCAACTGTATGTACTTTTCCTGAATAAAATGTATTTATTATTTATTTTTTAATCAGTAAGTATTAAAAGAAGGCACCAAGCTGGGAAGGCTATGTAGCACCATTGTGTGTAACAATAAACCAATTTTTTTTTAACAAATAATGCACCTGTATGGTAAAACAAATCCTGTCAGCTGTAAAAATATTGATGCCGTTATTTAAATGAAAAATATAATGAAAGAAATATTACTGGTTTATTTTTATCCTATCTCTTTGTACTGTACAGTATATCCAAGGAAGTGAAAAATTGAGACATAATGCACAATTTAATGAATGATTAGCATGGATTAGCAGTTCAAAAGAAATATGACTATTACATATCAACATGAGATCTTAATGATCCATGGTCAACATGATTTAATAAGGATAATACAGTACTGAATTTGTAATAATACAAACTATAATTTAAAATCTTTATTACTGATTTTTTTTAAGAAGATTAGGTATACACAGCAATGTGCTACTACCCTATTCTATATGGAATATTACACAGTGTAGATAAAAAACTAGCTATAAGTTTATCTAATACTCCCATCTCACAGGATGGTTAGACATACTGTACATGGAATCAATTTAGAAAATACCAGCCTCAATACAAAAAACAAATCAACTCTGACTAAACAACTCTAAGCAATTTTCACAAGAGGTAAGCACTGAATCATGGAAACATTATATTATAATTACTCTTACCAGTTTCTACAAGACTCCTCTCAAACAATGTATTTTTAAACATGTTTAGGTATACACAGCAAAGTGCTGCTTATCTATTCTGTATGAAGGACCACACAGTGTAGATCAAAAACCGGCTACAAGCTCATCCAACATCCTCACCTCACAGGATGGCCAGTCATACATGGAATTAGGAGAGAACAAAATACTTAATGCTGATCTATTAGCCTCCACTGGCAAAATCTGGGTGCAGCACAAGAATATCTTCCAATATTCCTGAGTGTATGAAGTAATTACAGAGCTCAAAATACCTCATACCATTTGGTATGAAGTCACTGATAACAGGACAATCACAGATATAGTGTTGGAGAGTATGTTCTCTCAAGTAGGACTGAAAACAGATGTTTTTTCACCAAGAGGGCTATTAACCCATGGAACCGCCTACCCGCTGAAGCCGTAAATGCCAAATTCCAGCTAAAAAATATCATTAAGACAATTGGCGGGCCCTTTAACAAGCCGCCGGCTTTCTGTCCTCTTCGAGGCCACTAGATAGTTAGTGGCCCTTGGGTTCTTAGAATTACGTAGGTAAACTCTTAGAATTACGTAGGTAAACAACAAATGTAACATATTTGTTTACTACAATGTCGGTGCTGGCTGTAGAAGTTGAAAAAACATTGTTTTACTTCGAAATATAAAATTTCTTCCTAAGTATACCTTATTGAATCGCACCTAAGCATCTTCTTAGGGCGCACTTAGGAACCTTCGTAGCAAACCCACTTACGAAGAAATACACAGAGCTTCCTGAATCGGTTAGGCCCCATTTAGATTATGCAGTTCAGTTTTGGTCGCCGTACTATAGAATTGATACAAATTCACTAGAAAACGTCCAGCATAGGATGACAAAGTTAGTCCCGCAAGTTAGAAACCTCTCATACGAAGAAAGATTGACAAAGCTTAAATTGCATTAGCTGGAAAGGCGAAGAGTTAGGGGTGACATGATAGAGGTGTTTACTGGTTCGGTAACAGGATTGTTGATTTGTGGAACCATTTACCGCGTAAAGTGGGGGTGGGGTCCGTTAATTGTTTAAAGCGTGGGCTGAACAATACGCTATGCGTATTAGTGGCTTTAGGTATTGTATGCACTAGCTCTATAAATCCAACATTATGTTTGTAACACATCATCTATGTATGTACTTTTCCCGAATAAAAGTTTGAATTTTGAATTTGACATGTATGTGGGTGGGATATTGCGTGGTTATAAATAGGAGATGCCTCGTATGGGCCAATAGGCTTTCTGCAGTTATCTTTAGTCATATGTTCTTATGTATTAGGTGATAGGAAACGTGCCGAAGCTGTACATGCCAAAACTGTTAAATATTAAAATCCAGCTGGAAAAACTCATCACGGTAAATAGGAACAGCCTCGTATAGGCCTTCTGCAGTTACCTTAATTCTTATGTTCTTATATAACATAATGATGTTATATAAGCATATAAGGTTCAGGTTCATGATACAGGTTCAGGAGCTTGTACACCAATTGATTGACAGCTGAGGGGCGGGACCAAATATGAAAATCAAAAATCAAAATCAGAATCAAAATGTTTATTCAGGTAAAGTACATACATACAAGGTGAGATACAAACATTGATGGATTTATTGATAGAGCTAGTATATACAAAGCCTAAAGCCACTATTACGCAAAGCGTTTCGGGCAGAAATAGTCGAAGCTCAGCCCCGTAAGCACAACTAGGTGAGTCCATTGGCATGACCATTAGGGTGTGCGCCATCTATATTTTGACAGCAGCACTACACATTAACCCCGCGTTATTCTATATCCAATACATGAGTGTTATGGTCAGTTGCTAGTCTATATATGTTTCTGGACAAAGTAAGTGATGTGAGGCTTGTTGCGGGCCAAGATCGGTAGTAACTGTTTGAATTGTGTTGGAAGAGGATGTGTCGGCCAGTGTGGTAGACTAGCGGGTAAGTAGCGAGTCTTGTAGCTTTTTAAAGCGCGTCTTTTTAATTCATTTGTGCTAATAACAAATATTAGGCTGTTTAGTTAGGTTTTGTTTGAGATTTATTTAATGGGTATCGCCAGTAATATAAAGGGGGGGAGGGAGATTGTGTAGATAAAAGTAAATTACCTGTGTAAGCTACATACGGTTTAAGAACATACGAAGAACAAAGGTAACTGCAGAAGGCCTATTGGCCCATACGAGGCAGCTCCTATTCTATAACCCCCCAATCCCACTCATATACTTGTCCAACCCGCGCTTGAAACAATCGAGGGACCCCACCTCCACCACGTTACGCGGCAATTGGTTCCACAAATCAACAACCCTGTTACTGAACCAGTATTTACCCAAGTCTTTCCTAAATCTAAACTTATCCAATTTATACCCATTGTTTCGTGTTCTGTCTTGTGTTGATATTTTTAATACCCTATTAATATCCCCCCTGTTATGTCCATTCATCCACTTGTAAACCTGTCACCCCTAACTCTTCGCCTTTCCAGTGAATGCAACTTAAGCTTAATCTTTCTTCATATGAAAGATTTCTAATTTGGGGAATTAACTTAGTCATCCTACGCTGGACACGTTCAAGTGAGTTTATATCCGTTCTAAAATACGGCGACCAAAACTGAACTGCATAATCTAAATGGGGCCTAACCAGAGCAAGATATAGCTTAAGAACCACACCAGGTGTCTTGTTACTAACGCTGCGATTAATAAATCCCAGTGTCCTATTCGCCTTATTACGAACATTCATGCATTGATCCTTTTGTTTTAAATTCTTACTAATCATAACTCCCAGATCCCTTTCGCAATCAGACTTCGCAATCTCAACACCATCTAGCTCGTATCTTGTAACTGTCATCATTACCTAGCCTCAGAACTTTAAATTTATCAGCATTAAACTGCATTTGCCAATCATTTGACCATTTCAAAACCCTATCTAGATCAACTTGAAGTGATAGTGAGTCCTCCTCCGAATTAATTTCCCTACAGATTTTCGTATCGTCGGCAAATTTGCAAATGTTGCTACTCAAACCTGAATCTAAATCATTTATATATATTATAAACAAGAGGTCCCAGGACAGAGCCCTGAGGTACTCCACTAACATTATCCCACTGACTTAACCCCATTTATACTGTTTCCTTTGAAATAGCCATGCCCTAATCAAAGTTAATGTAGCGAGTAGATTATCCCAATAATATACTCGCTCCAAATAGTGTTAATATTCCTGTCAACCTTTGGAGATGAATGAGGTGAGGCGTTGCCCGGGCAACACAGTGAGGTGTTGCCCGAGCAATATAAGCAGTGGTGTAGCGAACATTAGCTAGTCTACTTTCAAGTGCGGTCTAGAGCAGACACTTGCGAGATACTGTACCGACGCTCAGTGCGCTCAACTCACACCAACGTATCACCTGTGTACTTCTGTATATTCGACCAAATATATATAACTCCTATTATATATTCGACCAAATATATATATAGTATCTTAGTGTCTGTATTTGTCACCATACTTTACGTAACCAAGAACCGTTACATTAATATAGCACCCCCAATACCATGAGCTTCTATTTTTTTAGTCTTTCATGTGGCACTGTATCAAAAGCTTTGCTAAAGTCAAGGTACACAACACAATCCTTACCACTATCAACTGCCTCAACTATGCTGGAATAAAAAGTTAGCAAATTTGTTAAACATGAACGGCCATTTGTAAAACTGTTGCGACTCGTTTATTAATTTATGTTTTTCAAGATGGAGACACATTGTATTTGCAATTATTGATTCAAGTAACTTTCCCACAATAGACGTTAGGCTAATTGGCCGATAGTTTGACGCAAGTGATCTCCTTTCTTAAAAATTGGTACCACATTAGCTACCTTCCATGACTCTGGCACTCTGCCTGACTCTATTGATTTATTAAATATGGTAGACAGTGGCTCGGAAAGCTCCTCTTTGCATTCTTTAAGCACCCTAGCAAACACTTCATCCGGCCCTGGGGATTTGTTTGGTGTTAGTTTTTCTAATTGTTTAAGAACATCCTCCCTGGTAACTGCTAAACTCGTCAACCTGTCCTCGTCCCCACCCACATAGACTTGTTCGGCTGAAGGCATGTTAAGTTCTTCTTTAGTAAATACAGATATAAAATATTTGTTAAAAATACTACTCGTCTCCTTGTCATTATCCGTTATTTGATCTGTCTCGGTTTTTAATGGACCTATCCTTTCCCTAGTCTGTTCGATATAACTGAAAAAACCCTTTAGGATTTGACTTTGCTTGCTCTGCTATGCGAACTTCATAGTTTCTTTTTGCTTTCCTAATCTTTTTTTAATATTTCTAACCAGTTGTATGAATTCCTGTTCTAACCTGACTTCCCCATTCTTAATCCTTCTGTACCAAGCTCTCTTTTTACCTATAAGGTTCTTTACATTGTTATCCACTTTGGGTCATTAGTATTCGACCTATTAAATTTGTATGGTATACTACATTCCTGTGCTTTGTTTAATATTATAATAGGAGATATATAGGCCACCAAATTTAGACAGAATGGAAGCAAAGCATCTATGGAATGAAATATCTAGAGCATCTAGATCTAACAGTATTTATCTCATGGGTGACTAATTTTAGTGGAATAAACTGGGTGAACAAAACAGGGAATAGTGAAGCAGAAGATTTTCTAGAATTAATTGACGATTGCTTTCTTACGCAACACATTAAGGAACCAACGCGGGAAAATAATATTTTAGATTTAGTGTTAACAGTGAAACAAATTAATGACATCGAAATAGGGAGTGAGCTAGGGAACAGTGATCACAAAGTTATCAGATTTAGCATAGAATGGAATTGACCTGTAGGAGAAAATTCTCCTAAAGTGCCAGATTTTCGAAAAGTTGACTTTAATAGCCTAAGAAATTTTTTGGGTCAAATAGATTGGATACTCTTGGGTATGGGGTGTGGGCCGGTCTTGGAGCGAGACATGAACCCAGCGATAGGTGACGTAAATGGGGATTTCGATGTGGATTAAATATATAACGTATTTAAGAATATTCTAAACAAAGCACAGGAACGTAGTATACCATACAAATTGAATAGATCGAATACTAATGACCCAAAGTGGATAACAAAGAATTTGAAGAACCTTATAGGTAAAGAGAGCTTGGTACAAAAGGATTAAAAATGGGGAGGTCACTTTAGAACAGGAATTCGTACAACTGGTTAGAAATGTTAGAGATAAGGAAAGCAAAAAGAAACTATGAAGTTCGCATAGCAGGGCAAGCCAAGACAAATCCTAAAGGGTTTTTTTCAGTTATATCGTACTAAGACTAGGGAAAGGATAGGTCCATTAAAAACTGACAGGTCAAATAACAGATAGTGATGAAGAGATGAGTAGTATTTTTAATAAATATTTTGTATCTGTATTTACTAGAGGAACTTAACAATATGCCCTCAGCCGAACAAGTCTGTGGGTGGGGACGAGGACAGGTTGATGAGTTTAAGTTACCAGGGAGGATGTTCTTAAACAAATGGTAACTCAAACCAAACAAATCCCCAGGGCCGGATGAAGTGTTTGCCAGGGTGCTTAAAGAATGCAAAGAGGAGCTTTGTGACCCACTGTCAACCATATTTAATAAATCGTCAGGCAAAGTGCCAGAGTTTTGGAAAGTTGCTAATGTGATACCAGTTTAAGAAAGGGGATAGATCACTTGCGTCTAACTATCGACCAATTAGCCTAACGTCTATTGTGGGAAAGTTACTCGAATCTATAATAGCAAATAAAATTAGTCTTCATCTTGAAAAACTAAATTAATAATCGAGTCGCAACATGGTTTTATAAATGGCCGTTCATGTTTAACAAATTTATCTTTTTATTCTAGCACAGTTGAGGCAGTTGATAGTGGAAAGGATTGCGATGTTGTGTACCTTGACTTTAGCAAAGATTTTGATACAGTGCCACATGAAAGACTGATTAAAAAGATAGTCTCATGGTATTGGGGGTGCTATATTAAGCTGGATTAGGGCATGGCTATACCAAAGGAAACAGTTGGTATAAATGGTCAAGTCAGAGTGGGAAAATGTTGTAAGTGGAGTGCCTCAGGGCTCTGTCCTGGGACCTCTGTTGTTTATAATATATATAAATGATTTAGATTCAGGTTTGAGTAGCAACATTTGCAAATTTGCCGATGATACGAAAATCGGTAGGGAAATTAATTCGGAGGACGACTCGCTATCACTTAAAGTTGATCTAGATAGGGTTTTGAAATGGTCGAAGGATTGGCAGATGCAGTTTAATGCTGATTTAAAGTTCTGAGGTTAGGTAATGATGATAGGGTTACAAGATACGAGCTAGATGGTGTTGATTGCGAAGTCGAATTGTGAAAGGGATCTGGGAGTTATGATTAGTAAGAATTTAAAACAAAAGGATCAATGCATAAATGTTCGTAATAAGGCAAATTGAACACTTGGATTTATTAATCGCAGCGTTAGTAACAAGACACCTGGCGTGGTTCTCAATCTTTAGAGAAGTCTAAGAAATAAAATTAAACGAATTAAATGCTCTTGTCAAAGCTTAAGCACAGAAAGGCGGAGAGTTAGGGGTGACATGATAGAGGTATTGGGTGAATGGACACATGCAACACAAGAAACATGGATGAATGTAGAAAATGGAGGACTATTAGCTGAACATAAAATAATTGGGTGGTTATAAATAGGATTTAAACTATATCAGATATATTAGACTTTCATAGAGGGGAAGAAATGAAATGTGTGCTCGTGATGGGGTGCAGCCATGTAACTAGTTGGGGTTTGTTTGGGTTTACAAGTGTTGAAATGTAGTCTCAAAATGAGGGAAAGAAAAGGGCCTAAAAAACTGAGCACACAGTAGAAGTCTAAGAAATAAAATTAACGAATTAAATGCTCTTGTCTGCACAGAAAAAAAGAATATTACTATTGTAGGGATAGAATTAAATGGATTTAAACTATATCAGAAAGCAAGTAGCCATGTATGTATAATAGTCTCAAAGAGGGAATTGATATATAGGCCACCAAATTTAGACAGAATGGAAGCAAAGCATCTATGGAATGAAATATCTAGAGCATCTAGATCTAATAGTATTTGTCATAGGTAACTTTAACTTTAGTGGAATAAACTGGTTGAACAAAACGGAATAGTGAAGCAGAAGATTTTCTAGAATTGACGATTGCTTTCTTACGCAGCACATTAAGGAACCAACGCGGGAAAATATTTTAGATTTAATGTTAACTAACAGGGAAACACACATTAATGACATCGAAATAGGGAGTGAGCTAGGGAACAGTGATCAGAGAAGTCAGATTTAGCATAGAATGGAATAGACCTGTAGGAGAAAATTCTGTTAGTGCCAGATTTTCGAAAAGCTGATTTTAATAGCCTAAGAAATTTTTTGGGTCAAATAGTGGGAAGTCTTGGGTATGGGGTGTGGGCCGGTCTAGGAGCGAGACATGAACCCAGCGATAGGTGACGTAAAAGGGGATATTGCTGTGGATTTAATATATAACTTGTTTAAGAATATTCTAAACAAAGCACAGGAATGTAGTATACCATACAAATTGAATAGATCAAATACTAATGACCCAAAGTGGATAACAAAGAATTTAAAGAACCTTATAGGTAAAGAGAGCTTGGTACAAAAGGATTAAGCATGGGGAAGTCGGTTTAGAACAGGAATTCATAAAACTGGTTAGAAATGTTAGAGATTAGGAAAGCAAAAAGAAACTATGAAGTTCGCATAGCAGAGCAAGTAAAGTAAAATCCTAAAGGGTTTTTTCAGTTATATCGAACTAAGACTAGGGAAAGGATAGGTCCATTAAAAACTGACAGGTCAAATAAAGGACAATGACAGAGATTAGTATTTTTAACAAATATTTTATCTGTATTTACTAAAGATTACTAAATTGCCTTCTGGTGCCCATTTGAAAACTGATCCACTTTGTGTTTAAATGTTTTGAGTGATTTTCATTTCTTTGGTCCTGCATAAATTTACTCAAAATATTCCTAAAATTTGCCATTTTTGTTAGTCTTTAATTAAATTGTATTTGCAGGTGGTAAATTGTTTCGGCTGCTACAGCTCTCCAGCCCAAGTTGTTGACTGGCTAGTCTTTGACTGCCTCCCAACATGTTAGTGAGGTCCTGAGCTGATGTACCCTATGGCGAAGAGTGAGGCACTAGTTTCCTGAAGTAATGTATAGCATGAGATGGCACCCATTCTAAACAGCAGCCGGCACCAACTCTGGCCGACGTTGGAGTGGACAAGACCCAGATCCTGTGGGGAGGAAAAGTCTACACTAAACTGTAAAAGGTACAGATAATCTGACCCCCCCCCCTTGGCAGTTTCTCGGGTACCCCCTCTTTTCCATTTCCTTATTTTGTAAAGCTTTATCTTAAACGGCAGCATAGCTTGGCACTCGTGGCTTTAGTGGGACTGTTCCATTGGATTGTAACTGTGGGTGGGGGGGGGGAAGCATCTCTAGTTTTGTTCTGCATTGTAGTCTCTCTTTAAACCATTTTAATGTTGCACTCAACTTATTGTTCTTGACAGTTTTGCAAACTTATAGATTTTCAGTGTGAAGAAATTGGTACCATCCTGTCTGACTTGCAATGTACCGTTTTTATTAATAGCAGTTTCATAAAGAATGACTTATTGGCTGGTATTAAATATCCTCTAAAGCAGATAAAATCGGTAAAGTGTCCATGCCTTGGTATGATTAGTTGGGCGAATGAGTGTTGTATAACTGCTTTCTAAAGTGTAAACTTTTATTTTCAGGGTGTTGGTTTTTCTCACTGAAGCTACCACTCGTGCAATTTTGATTGGTGATTGTGACTTAGTCCTCCTCGTGATCTACGGCAAGGTAATATTTTTAGCATTTATATTATGCTGCACATGTTAAGCTTTAGTTTTAAATTAGCTTGTCTTCAAATTACATGTGTTGATGACCATTTTTGTATGGGCTTCATACCCTTCACTTTAACATGAATTAACATCCTTAAGTCAGCCCAAAAAATAGAATATATGGTTCTGCGACGTTTAGTAATTTGTAAGACCTTTTCACTATTTTTAAAATATTGGTTTTTATCCATTGTAAGTTATTAAATGTGCTTTAACTTACCAGTAGTGTGGTAGGTTTGGAAAGCTTTAAAAAATCCATGTATCCAGAGTTGCTGGAGCTCCTATATTAGGAGCTTAATTTGCAAAGTAAATTTGCATGATAGCCTTGTTTATATAATTTTGGGGGGAACGAACACTTTAAATATTTAATGGAAATGGTGACCGAATCCTACTTTAGATACCAAAAAATAACCAGAGCAAAGTGTACTTACAAAAGTAGGGAATTGTTCCATTAAATTTAGATAAAATTAATCAGTTTGGTAGTTCCAGGGAGATTTGTGTAGTCAGTCAGTCTTTACTATTGTGAAATGTAGTTTTATTAATTATGCCAATGCTACTTTTTATATTGCGAGTCTTTGCACCTGTTTCCTAAGATTGACAGCATGAGGTGAATCTTCCAGCTTCGGTCTTGGGAAGTTGTAAATAATTAGGTAATATAACTTTTATTTAAAAGAAAATGAAATTAAAGTGTAGCATAGGCTTGTATCTCCCTTGGGAGAGTTGTCAAACCCATAGATATTTCCTTGTCAAAATACTTTAAAGGTTGTAAGTTGTGCCTATTGTAATTTAGCATTAACGTATTGTCAGTCTTAAAGGGCATGACAATGATTAGGTTTATAATCTAGTATCTTGGCATAGACAACAAAATTGATTCTACTAAAATACTAAATTGTATAATTATCAATTAACATTGATGCACAATGAATGTGGTACTGCAGTTTAATAATTATGGTCCACAATTTTGTTAAAAATTTGAGTGAATATTTCCAGAAAGTTGATTGTGGCCATACCTGTTGAAGTAGTAAAGACAAACGTTCAAATTGCTCTTCTTGATGTAACCCCCAAGCTGTAGGCTGCTGTTATTTTAAGAGGTAATCTTATTTTACTTATGGAAAACTGGCCACTGTAATGATTAATCTCTACTCGATATACAGGCTCAATAGTCTCTGTAGTAAATATACTCTATTGTCAATGAAGTACACAAGTCTTAGGTGATCCATTGGCTGAGGAAAATCAAAGTTCATTGAAATAAATTTATTGAGGTAAAATCCAACAAGGGATGAGGTAGCTAAGGCAGTTCATAACTTGTCCTTATTGGTAGTTCAGTAATTTTTTTAGCTAGTATGTTGCATAATAAAAATTAAATGGTTGTTAAAATGTTCGTTGCACACACCATAATGGCCGTCAGATGTTAAATGTCAGACTAAGGGGTGAGATTAGTGGTAAATGTGACATTGATCAGTGCAATGTTACTAGATTCTTGAAACTTTCCCTTGCATGGTCAAATTTATGTAATTATTTTAATCTGTATCTATTGGTTTGGTGTCCAAATGTTATTGTAAGTTTCATAAACTTTCTAATGTGACTTGTTATACTGAGCACTTTATGAATATTAAAGTACCTAAGTTCATAATTTGTAAGCTTAATAGTAACAAAGTATACTAAAATGTATTAATATTTTCTCTTGACAGGTGGAGACGCATTATCTGAAATGGCTGTTGCAATGTATTGAAATTAAATTTTATTAAAAACTCTGGGTTAGTTGAAGTCGCTTATTGTAAATAGTGATATTGTGATGTTTTAGTTTCTCTAATTTTATTGAAACGAGATTTTTCAGTGTTTTGGAATGTTTAATAAGGTTCTTGGCACCATCTGTCTTGACTACAAATTTAACTGTTACTAGATTATAAATATATTGGTGTTCTGGGCAGTTTACCTTGTTTGAGCAACAAGGTGATGCAAGGCAGTTTTTTTCCCAACTTGGCTGTAGTTGTGTAACTTAGAAACGTTGGTTGCAAGTTTGTAGTGTGGTGCATGGGATTGAAGGAATAATCACCGCTCCACATTGATAAGATAGATTCCTGTTGCATTGAAGTCGGCAAGTTGAATAAATGTTTTGGAAAATATTGTAGTTATAATATTGTACAACATTGTTAATTAGAATAATGATCATAACTTGGTGAAAGGGTGGTTATTATATTGGTTTTAAATTTTATAATTACTTTATTATAGCAAATGTTTGTATTTGAAGGTAGTTAAAATCTAATTTATATATTACCTGTTGGTAATATAGTCGCCAACATCAAACTTAAAGTATACAAGGCATTATAGCAAGTCTTTACCAAAGTTCATGTATATTAGGATACGTAATGTAGGTGTACATAAGCTAAAAGTTGAAAAAATAACGTAATAGAACACAATTGTATAGATTATCATTGCCCATACTGTAGATATTAGTGATAAGTTTTCTACTAAATGAGGTCCATCTCCCTTTCTGGCTGTCGTTGTCGTGACGTAAAGTAGAGGGGGGGGGGGGGGTAAACGCACAACTGTCAGATTAGTTTCACTTCACATCTGCAAGGTGACAATCTTTCATAATTTCACATTCAATGATCTTGTAATATCGACACATTGGTTTTTAAAAACAAACCTCACTTTTGATAGTATCACCTTTTGATAGTAAGACCCTTCAGCCACCTATCATTCTTGCTGGTGCCAGGTGCCCTGTTCAAGAGTACATCCCCCCCTCTCACTCATTGTAATAAGTGAGGCAAGTTCGAGCACGGTGCCCTCAAATGCACAAGTCTTCGTTTCTCTCTGCCCCATGTGTGGGGACGATAGCCACTCTAAGACAGATTGCTCATATCCCCCGGGCTCGCTACCTGAATTGCGGCGAGGCCCACCCTACATTCTCTCGCACGTGTATCGACTCAAAGCTTGAAGTAGTCCTTAACTTGAAACACCAGGATCATTTGACTTTTCCCGAGGCAAGACACGGTTTGCAGTGTCCACCCCTTCACTGGCGTATCTTATGCTCGCACGTTGTTCTACCTCTCGTCCTTCCCACCTTTGTCCCACAACCATTTCTAGGCCTTGGACCCGAACATGCCCACCACCTTCCCTGTTCCTTTACGTCCTGGGTCGGAAGGTATCTCTCGTGAATCTCCTTCTGGATTCCCCCCCCCCCCCCCTTTCCTTTTCCTACCCTGTCTGCCAAGTCATTTCGTTTTCCCCGATCCTTCCTGTCCCTCCCCACTACCTCTTGGCCCTCCACGTCGCCTGTCTGTCCAGGCTGATGTCCATCATCCTCCCAGCAATCTTGATGTTGTTCACTCCCATTCTTCACTTAAGACCCTAGTCAGTCGGCCAGTACGATGTTACTGGAACACCTGTCCGTCAGAAACGTAAGCCTGGCTCCTCTCCATCCTCCTCCCCCTGCGGGTAAGAAAAGAGACGGCATTCCTTTCTTCCTCGCCCCCTAACTATTGCTTACTCCCCATTTTATTGGTTGGGGCCCCCTGTCCCTAATGTGGAAGTTTCTTTTGGCCCAATTCCCTCTTGGTTGCTGACCTAGAGTTTCTACCCCCTATCCTCCTGGCCTTGACAGCCCCCCCCCCCCTCCCTGAACCCTGTCAATCTGCCTCTGGTGTCCTGCTCTTTTTTTCCCTCCATTCTTACTAAGTTAACCCATGGCCCGCTAAACCTTATTCTGATCTTTAGCTTTTTTAATATGCTGTGTTATTTACCTTTGTTTCTTTGTTCTGTTGCTGTCCTTTTATTTTTTTGATGTCAATTCTTCAATGGAATATTCATGGGTTTTATGCTAACTCCCATGAACTCCAACTTCTGTTTAGGTTTCACCACTGTCTCTGGGAGCCGATGCTTGGTGCTCGTCGTGATAACTGTCGTGGTTATTCCTTTCTTCCCCTTCCCCCTTCTCCCCCCCCCCCTTGATCTTGCTGGGGCCCATAACTATATTGGTCTCTTGATTCGTACTGATAATCCCTTTGTCCTACTGTTTCCATGTCCTATCCATTATTTTGCTGGCCATGTTTTTGAGTAAAATGTAGTCTGTTAAATTTTTCCCCCAAATGTCCCTCTTTCCCTTCCTGATGTCGGGAACCTCCTGGACTCCTTAACAGAGCTGGTGTTCCTGTTGGGTTATTTAAACTGTCGACATACCCTTTGGGGTGATGTTGACACACCCGAGGCGGCCTTCTCGAACCATTCGTTCTCTTCCCTGAATTCTGGTGAGCCCACCCCATGTGGACTGTGACTCTCACTTTCCTGTCTTGATCTTTCTCTGATCGTCTCTGTACTTGGATATCTCGTGGAGGGTTCATAACCTCCATAAGTGACCATTTCACCATCCTTGTTTTCCCTTGTCTTTTCACCCTCCCCTCTCCTTCCCTAGGTGGCAGTTTGCCAAAGCTGATTAGAACCTATTCACCCTCCGTGCTACTGTGACCTCTCCTTACTACCTCTTCCTTGCACCCTCCTCGTTTTCATTAGTCTTCGATGCTACCCTCTATTCCTTGCTCTACCTCCCAGGGCACACGGAAGTGCGTTCCCTGGACTGCGGATTGCTAGGGTTGTCGGCTGTAAGTGTGCAGCCTGGAAAAGACTGACGCTGGCAGATGGCTGATTCTTATATTTTGTTTCAGAAAGTGCAGTGGCCTGTTGGACCACCTGGACAGCGAGGCGCGAGAGTTGGAAGTGTTTCCACCATTACGTCAGATACTCCTCTGCCGCAGATTTGGAAGATTTGCAATATTGTGGGTAAGCTCATTCCCTATGACTAGCAGGTTCTTCACCTCTGTGGTACTCTGGTGGTGGAGCCAGTGCAGGTCACAACCGAACTGGGTTCTCACTTGTTAGCTGTGGTTCTAATCTTCAATTTTTCCTTAAACACGTTCTTGAATCTCGTGCCTTAAACTTCCACACTCGGTGGTACTACATAGCCTTCCCGGTTTGGTGGGTTTTATAAATTTTTACTAAATGAGGTTTAAGTTCTTTAAAAGTGGCAAATACATAGATCTGTGTACAGTTTGCTTATCTATTTAAAATTAAATCCCATTTGATCCGCAAGCAAGAGTGATTTGGCATGAATCCTGGGCGAGTAACTGTATCATCTGTTTAACGGTGTAAAATTGGTACCTAGTTAAATTTTTAGTGTTCTGGGGTAACATGGAATAAAGTTATTGGGCTAAATGGTACGCATGCTTGTGGCTGTACAAGAATGAAAGATCTGTCGTATTGTTTTTTTTGACATAAATAGCAACAACTCTTGAGTTTGCTTGGCATGTTTCAAATACATGTTACCAAAGATATATGGGGGAGGGGAATCGTAAACTATAAATTTGAAATACAAATTTTGTAGCATATAAACCTTAAATGTGGACTTCAAAGTGCTTTATCTTCTAATTTATAAATTAGATATGGTGGGGGGGGGGGGGGGGAGTAGATAATTTGTTAGTGTAACTTTAAAATGACAAATATTTTAAAGTTAAACAAAATGAAATTGCTATGCAAAACCTTATTAACCATATTTAATGTTCCATTGACAGGTTGTAGAAGGTCCTTCCAACATAACTTCAGGAACAGTTGCAGAACAATCGCTGGAAGTGTTAAATGCTACAGAAAGTAGCATAGTTGTCAGAATTAGAGGGCCAAAGTAAGTTTATTTAGTTTAATAGGTAAAATGTGTTTACATAATTTTTACCTAAATATTTAATGAAATTGTGAAGGGGCCTTGAAATTGGGTAAATTGAAACTAGTTTAAGGCCTTGACTAGTGGGTACTATATCCTAAAGTTAATTCTTGCAAGAATTGTGCTTTGAATAGAATAAATGGGACTTTAAATTTGTGAATGTAAAGTTGGGCACTAACTGTTAAACGGCATAAATTTGCAAGTTAAAGATTTTATGAAATGTTTTATTTAAATCTTAATTTGTTTGCTTAACTTCTGGTGTTAAGTTGGTTGCATGGTTCTTAATTATTTGGCTAGAAGTCATTCATTTATAAATTACACAAATCACAATGTGATATTTCTAATGCACAAGGGCTGTGATGAGGGGTTCAAACTTATGTCGGAGGATCCCAGATGTGCTTTAAGACTGTGCCACAACATGGTAAAAGAATCCCAACTGGGAGGTCTACTGACATCATGGATTTAATCTACGTTTGTAGCTTAAAAGGCTATGTTCATAAATTAAAGAATCATTTAATGATGGTATAGTACACAAATTAAATATTGAATGGTAACTGTACTTCAACTTAGTTTATTTATTTGAAGCTTAAATAGATATTGTCTTCCAGAATATTGATGGGAAAGTCGAACTTCAGCCCTGAGTTTGAAGGTGTTAATTGCTTGACATTCTGAATTAGGTGAGTGTGGTAGTAAACATTATAACTTAAACAATCACTCATTATGGCTGAAGATAATCTGAAATGATGCTTACATGTAGATAAAATAAATTGCTGAGAGATATTACTGACTTTAATGTACTTATGGTTAGTCAAACTAAGTTTAATGTTTTTGCTTGATTAGCATTAAAGGAGAATTCTAACAATCTTAATTGTAAGATTAAAGGAACCTGCATATGTAAAATCTTGTTTAACAAGCTAATTTGGGTAAATGTTTCAGGTGGTATGGAAGATTACAATGTCATCAAAGCATTGACTGGCTTCAGTGTGGTTGTTCTACTCTGCAAATCTACGAAAGTTGGTATGTGGAATTAAGTGTTTTAGCTATGTCAACTAATTAATTTACTTTCTTTCATCTAGTCCATTTATAGATGTGTACCAAAGTCCTACTGTTACCACCTGCAGGGATTGATGCAGTTTGTACTGATCCTACCCCATTTCATAGAAGGGGACCAGGCAGTCCTGCAGATTTCCCTGGCTTGGCTTTTTCAGAGCCCTGCTCTACTACCCATCCAATAGATGGACTAGAATTGCATAGGTGTAGGGACCCTTAACAATGTGCAAACATTGTTAATCACTACAGGGCTTGTTCACTGAAAGAGTGGATACATCCAGAGGTTTAGTGCCTGGAACATGATGTACATAGGCTTTACACAAAGCTTATGTACATCATGTTGGGCACTAAACCAAAAGATGTGATGCACTCTTTCAGCCAACAAGTCCTGCCTCAAATGGAAGTAAGGGGTAGGCCTTGCTGAGCCAATCTTAAAAGATTGGCACTTAGGGGTTTTGGTGCTTATAGATAGGTGTTAGTGTTAATAAAATGAGTGTCCCTGTTTGATATACTTTATTTTTCCTTTACAGGTGGATGTTGTCCTTGGTACTCTGGTTTTCCCTGGCCTTTTGATGATCTTTGAGTCTTCAGTGGATTGAATCTAGGAGGAGCAGCTTGCCACAACCTGAAATAGACAATAGTCAATATTGATGTTACACTGTAAACTATTAAATAAATATTCCAATGAAACTTTATACTGTACTTTATCCTGAAATTAGCAAAGATTCTATCATGCTGGAAATTACTGATGCAAAGAACTTGTGAAATTTATAAATAACTTACTAGAGTGAAAAATTAATTGACATCACTAACTTCAGAGTTTTCTGCATGTAATATGCCAAACTGGATTAAGCTGATAAATCTAAACTAACATTACTAATTTGCAAAGTATCTTAATTTTACACATTTACTAAAATTAAACTTAACAATTGTATGGACTACATTTAAGGCTAAGCAACATTGAAAGATTAGTGGAAGTGTTGTAAAAAAAATACGTTGACTTAAATGTCAAACTAAAACATCTATACAATATGGTTTTTCACCAATACCTTACTAAATGCCAGACCTGGAACACTGTGGTTCCAGTAATCAGAAGTTAATTATAATGGGCTAGATATTAAAACTTGATAGGAAAGTATGAAACTACCTATTGTCAAAAGTAAAATCCAACTCTGAAAGTTCTAGTATAAGAAAAACTAATATTAGACATGACCAGTCTGCCTTATTTCCTGGACTTTGATTTGTCCTACCAAATATTTTGAATGAAAATTTCATTATTCACACCAGACATCCCATAACCACAAATGTTTCAAGCTGATGAATAGAAGTAATTAAGGATAGTAGTGTATTATACACTACCTGTAAAAAGTACCATAAACTGGAAGAGCCTTACAAACTAAAATTTATAATTACCACATGCCTAGAATTTAATCCAAACTTAAATGAACTCTCAGCCAAAATTACTAAAGTTAAAAGATGTTCATAACAAGTTTATCTAGATTTCAAATGTCACTCAAATCTTAGAAATAACCAAGCACAAAACTGTCAGATTAGTTTCACCTCGCATCTGCAAGGTGACAATCATTCATTACAAGATCATTGAATGTGAAATTATAACATTGGTTTGTTAAAAACAAACCTGGTCACTTTTTTGGAAATGGTAACCAGCTATTCAAACAAGACTTCTGGTACACATGTCGCTTGCTAAAGCTGTTGATAAGGTACCATATGAAAGAATAGGAGGCGAAAAACAGGCACATAGAATCAATGGTAACAGTCAAATTAAAGCGTCCTAAACAGAAATGACTGGAAAATTTTTGCAAGATTCATACCACAAGGGTATAAACCTTATAAATCGATGACATCAAACACCAAGATTTATAGTAAAAAAAAACCCAATGATATCGAGGCCTTACAAAGATCTACATGAACTCTAAAAATGGTTACAAGACTGACAAATTCTTCTTAATATACAAATAACATTGTTCTGGCTCACATGCAAGGTTTTACAATCCATATCACATTACGATGAAATAAGGACCTTCGAGTATGAATCCATCATTCACCAAAAGTTGATGCAGTAAAAGGCAAGGTAATTATCAAAAGAAGGCATCAAACCGGGAAGGCTACAGAGCACCCTCAAACTGCGAAATAATCAGAGGGCGCTAAATATCACCAAGAATGCCAATACGAGAACAGAACGCATAAGGCGAACGATATCAAAAGTATCCGATTCACCAAAAATTCTATCCAGGGACAAGTGACCGCGAGGGGCAGTCGGAAAGCAAGACACACGCACATCCTGGAAGTCAGGACATTCAACAAGGATATGCACAACTGTACGAGGGACAACGCAATTTGGACAATAAGGAGCAGGGTGGCGCTCCATTAAGTGACCATGAGTTCAGCGAGTATGGCCAATCAGCAACTTGCTAGAGCAGTTTCCCACCGACGGTTACGGTGGCAGGAGGAAGGACACAGGGACACACTACGTTTGAGAGTACGCAACTTGTTACCAACTACAGACGACCAACAACCCTGCCAATGGGCAAGGATGGAGGAATGAATAACAGGATAAAAGTCGGAGTAAGGAATACCTTTATGGGAGATGGGACAAGAACGGATAGCTTCCTTAGAGGCAGCATCCGCATGCTCATTTAAAGAAACACCAATATGGCTGGGAACCAAGCAAAACTCTACCGATTTAAATGTACTAGAAATAAGAAACAGCCAATGTTGAATATCCATGACCACCGGATGGACAGGATTAAAGGACCCTACAGCCATGAGAGCACTACGAGAGTCAACTACAATCACAAAGGAGGATTGACAATGAGAAAGCAAGAGACGGAGAGCATAGAGAACAGCATAAAGTTCTGCTGTGAAGACGCTAGCCTCCGAAAGGAGGCGACACATATAAGTGCGGTCAGGAAAAAAACAGTAGCCCACACCGTCCGCAGACTTAGACCCCTCGGTGAAGATGGAAACAGAGTGGGAGTGCGAAGAAAAGTGCTCAAGGAAAAGGCGTTTCAGAACCCTAGGAGGGGTAAAAGCTTTAGTGATGCGGGTCAAGGACGTACAAAACTTTGGAAGGGGTACTCTCCACGGAGGCAAGGAACAATACGAGGAGAAACATTAGAAATACGAACAGAAAGCGAGATAACCGGACAGAAAGAGGGAGGCGATGAAGATGAACAGGAACCACAGGAGGAGTCAAAGTTAAAGCACGACAGAGGTGAGAGGAAGGATGTTGTAAGGACCACGCAAGATAGCGAAGATAGTAGCGATCACGGCGGTCCTGGAGAGAGAGAAAGCCAGTGTCAACATACAAACTGAGGGCGGGAGTCGAACGAAAGGCACCAGAGCTGTGTGGGGAAACTCCAGGCAGCTAATCTCTTTATTTAAATTGACTTTAATAAGATAAAGTTATGTCTTATTTATTTTTCTAAGTAAGAATTAATTGAGTGGACTGTATATACTTGTAAACTGCCTGAAATCTTCTTACACACTAATGGGAGGGACAATTGGTAGCCTAAACCACTTTGTTATGGCTCCTTCTTAAACTACCAATTGTTTACCTTTTATTATTATAATATACCACATGTTGGGTATAAAAATTCGTAATTTCAAACTGCGAATACGTGCAGAGAGCCAGAATTTGGCTCCAAAATATGGCTCAGGCCTCGAAATTGGGATGTTTGGGATATTTTGAAAACTGCATGGGGGTTTGTGGCAAATGTGACTCACTGCCGCTTTCAGTACTTGGCATATGTTGGGTATAAAAAGTTGTAATTTCAAACTGCGAATACGTGCAGAGAGCCAGAATTTGGCTCCAAAATATGGCTCAGGCCTCGAAATTGGGATGTTTGGGATATTTTGAAAACTGCAGGGGAGTTTGTGCAAAATGTGACTCACTGCCGCTTTCAGTACTTGGCATATGTTGGGTATAAAAAGTCGTAATATCAAACTGCGAATACGTGCAGAGAGCCAGAATTTGGCTCCAAAATATGGCTCAGGCCTCGAAATTGGGATGTTTGGGATATTTTGAAAACTGGAGGGAGGTTTGGGACAAATGTGACCAAACGCCGCTTTCAGTACTTGGCATATGTTGGGTATAAAAAGTCGTAATTTCAAACTGCGAATACGTGCAGAGAGCCAGAATTTGGCTCCAAAATATGGCTCAGGCCTCGAAATTGGGATATTTGGGATATTTTGAAAACTGCAGGGGAGTTTGTGCAAAATGTGACTCATTGCCGCTTTCAGTACTTGGCATATGTTGGGTATAAAAAGTCGTAATATCAAACTGCGAATACGTGCAGAGAGCCAGAATTTGGCTCCAAAATATGGCTCAGGCCTCGAAATTGGGATATTTGGGATATTTTGAAAACTGCAGGGGACTTTGGGACAAATGTGACCAAACGCCGCTTTCAGTACTTGGCATATGTTGGGTATAAAAAGTCGCAATTTCAAACTGCGAATACGTGCAGAGAGCCAGAATTTGGCTCCAAAATATGGCTCAGGCCTCGAAATTGGGATGTTTGGGATATTTTGAAAACTGCAGGGGAGTTTGTGCAAAATGTGACTCAATGCCGCTTTCAGTACTTGGCATATGTTGGGTATAAAAAGTCGTAATATCAAACTGCGAATACGTGCAGAGAGCCAGAATTTGGCTCCAAAATATGGCTCAGGCCTCGAAATTGGGATGTTTGGGATATTTTGAAAACTGCAGGGAGGTTTGGGACAAATGTGACCAAACGCTGCTTTCAGTACTTGGCATATGTTGGGTATAAAAAGTCGTAATTTCAAACTGCGAATACGTGCAGAGAGCCAGAATTTTGCTCCAAAATATGGCTCAGGCCTCGAAATTGGGATGTTTGGGATATTTTGAAAACAGCAGGGGAGTTTGTGAAAAATGTGACTCACTGCCGTTTCCAGTACTTGGCATATGTTGGGTATAAAAAGTCGTAATATCAAACTGCGAATACGTGCAGAGAGCCAGAATTTTACTCCAAAATATGGCTCAGGCCTCGATATTGGGATGTTTGGGATATTTTGAAAACTGCAGGGAGGTTTGGGACAAATGTGACCAAACGCCGCTTTCAGTACTTGGCATATGTTGGGTATAAAAAGTCGCAATTTCAAACTGCGAATACGTGCAGAGAGCTAGAATTTGGCTCCAAAATATGGCTCAGGCCGCGAAATTGGGATATTTGGGATATTTTGAAAACTGCAGGGAGGTTTGGGACAAATGTGACTAAACGCCGCTTTCAGTACTTGGCATATGTTGGGTATAAAAAGTCGTAATTTCAAACTGCGAATACGTGCAGAGAGCCAGAATTTGGCTCCAAAATATGGTTCAGGCCTCGAAATTGGGATGTTTGGGATATTTTGAAAACTGCAGGGAGGTTTGGGACAAATGTGACCAAACGCCGCTTTCAGTACTTGGCATATGTTGGGTATAAAAAAGTCACAATTTCAAACTGCGAATACGGTTAGAGAGCCAGAATATGGCTCCAAAATATGGATCAGGCCTCGAAATTGGGATATTTGGGATATTTTGAAAACTGCAGGGGAGTATGTGCAAAATGTGACTCAATGCCGCTTTCAGGATTTGGCATATGTTGGGTATAAAAAATCGTAATATCAAACTGCGAATACGTGCAGAGAGCCAGAATTTGACTCCAAAATATGGCTC